CCGCCCCCAGAAGCAGGGCCCCGCCCTCAGAAGCCGGGGTCCGCCCCTAGAGCCGGGGTCCGCCCCCAGAAGCAGGGCACCGTCCCCAGAAGCAGGGCCCCGCCCTCAGAAGCCGGGGTCCGCCCCTAGAGCCGGGCCCCGTCCCCAGAGCCGGGCCCCGCCCCCCGCCGCGGCGGCCCCGCCTCCCCCTCCCTCGACCCCGCCTGCTGCCTCCCAGACCTGCCGAAGGAACCGTCCAACGTCTGTTCTTCTTAAATAGAGATGAAACTACTTTCCGGGCGGGGTTGTTCTGAGGCAGAGAGTTCGTTGTGCCCGATGACTGTTACCGGGCATTTGACAGGCTCCTCTTTTCTGTGTATACCGTTCAAGCCCCTTTTTTCCCCTCGAGCGGCGACTTTCAGGGAAGAGCGCCTGAGGTGCCGCCGAGCCTCTTTGAAAGAGAAGGAAGTGGAGGCCACGCGCCCGCGGGGGGAGCGGACGGTGCCCCGCGGTTCGTCCGCGGGGGCCTCTCCGCGTCTTCATCTAGAATTTCACACCGTTGTCTTTTCCCCCTTCTTTGCGGCCGCTATAGTTCTGTGATTGCTCGCTAAAAATAGCCACAAATTGCAGTTCTTGATCCTCTGAGCCCTTTCTCTGGGGACGCACAGGGTTTTGTTTTTTTTTCTCAATTTTTTTATGTCTTTATTTGTTTTGAAAGACAGAGACAGAAAGCCAGTGAAGGAGGGTCAGAGAGAGAGGGAGACCCAGAATCTGAAACAGGCTCCAGGGTCTGAGCTGTCAGCACAGAGCCCGACGTGGGGCTCGAACCCACGAACCGTGAGATCATGACCTGAGCCGAAGTCGGACACTTAACCAACAGAGCCACCCAGGCGCCCCCTGGGACGCACACTTTTAAGAATGGGCTGAATTCCCTGTTACTGGATAAAGTGACTTTAACTTGGCAGCTCTTTACCAGATTTTGCCAAGAAAGCTCTCTTAAAGCCCCGCTTCTACTGTACCTCGTGGGAAACGATTTTTAAAGGTATATATTGCATTTATGCTTCTATTTTAATGACTACAGAAATAGGTTCACGGCATATTCCAGACTCTGGAGGTAGAAGTTTTTTGGTTTTGTGTTTTGACTTTGCTTTGAGTCTGGCTGGACTGCAAGATCTGTTTTTCCTATTTTTGAAACAGAGCCACGTTCCGTTGCATTCATAAGAGCAACAAAATAGCACAAAACCCCAAATAGGTGAAAAGCTGAGTTATTTCTATGCTTACATTTTTATATAAGGTATCGGTTTTGTGAATGTTTGTTCTGGTAATAAAAAAAACACAACAGTTTTAAAATAGAACCAGGGGATAAGATTAATAAAGTTCTAGGACAGTGAAAAATGATGGCTGGCTCTTACCAGCCCTATTTTTTAAGCTAAAAATGACTCACTTAATACTCTCTTTTTTTGTATAGCTTTTTCCAGATTGCTGTCTGAACCAAATCTGCATGATATATCAAGGGGGAAATGTTTTATTTTTAAAGCTGGAGAATAGTAGAAACTGATTTCTTCACTATATACAGACGAATTTGAAACCAGAGGCATAGGGAGGAGGGGAAGAGGGTTTTACTTAATGTGGCCAGAAGGCAAAGGTTTTCTCCCTCCGCATGGTGTCTGTCCTCAAAGATTGGGATGGTCACGGCTACTCTTCAAAACCCTTTACTTAAACGTCAGTAAAATAGCACCTGTGTTGGTATTTTGAGATCTCTTATGGGGCAGGAAAAGGTTGAGAGTTTTGTTTGTAAGCCAGACTCTTCTCTTAGTTGCTTCAACTGCAAATCACTGAAGGAGTGATTTTAGCTGGGGTCACTGTGTGGTTTATTTTTTTCCTTGGCGATGTTTCTCTTTTCCGACTTGGTGTATGGGTGGGGGCCGTGGGTTTTATGTCATCAGCCTATGTTAGGTCCACATCACCAGCACTTAGTGCCCCCACCCTCTTCTCCAGAACCCGCCTGTCAGAGGTTGAGCAGAGCCCAACTTGAAGTGAATAAATCCCCCTCTCCTCTCCAGGAAGGGCTTCTATAGAACTCAGATCCCAAGTCAGCGACCTTAAAAATCCCATTCTGTGCCCTTTTTTCTGAGTGCTCTTCTGAGAGTTAGAGAATCCCGTTTCATTGGCAGAGGCTTTAAAGAGCTGCATTCATACCTCCTTCCGTTCCTTCTCGCTGGCAGACTAGCCTTTTTCCGGCCAGGAGGCTAAGGCCTTCTGTAGAACTCTTTCAAAGGCATTCCCACGCAGGCCACTCACTGCGGTTCCAAAACACCAGCGCAGACATCTGGGAGTCTGCCACCCATCGTTGCCACCCGTCACTTCTCGGGCGTAGCTACCGCCTCATCTCCAGGGACTGGGTGCCAATCCTGGGGCAATGTCATACAAATACATGCTACCTTTGATGCTCAGACACCCAGAATGCACCAAATATCCCTTTATTTTCTGCCTGCAAACCTCATCCCCACCTCCGAGCGGCCCTCTGGATTGGCTGAAGGAGCCTCTGTGCACAGACAGCGCCTCAGTGTGGGGGCCCTCTGCTCGTTGGTCGAGGGTCTGCCCAGGGAGGTGTCCGTACCCCTGTCCGCCTGCCCTCTGGAGCCCACACCCCAACACACGGTTCCCCCCGGAGGGCTTCTGCCTTCCTGGTCGCTGTCCACAGGGGTGCCCACCCGGAAGCTCCAGGGCCACAGACCTTCATCGATGTTGCCGGGAGATCGGGAAGCACGCCCGAGTGTACTGTACTGGAGGCAGGGATTTCTTTTTTCTGTTTTGCTCACTGTCACAGTCCCACTTCCTAGAATAGAAGCTGACATGCAGGAGGCTCTCAGTGAATGTTGGCTGAGTGAATGGAGAGGTGAATGGTGATGGGGTCATCGAGAAAGGTGAGGGTCTGTGAGAGATGTGGGAAAATAGTAATAGATTTAGGAATATATATGCATTTTGGGAAAGATTAATATATTTTTCTGGAATATGTGGTGTTGTCATACTGGGCAATGGGAGGGATGTTTAAGGGTGGTTATTTACAAAGGCTAGTAGTGATGCTAAGTGTGACTACCCCCCAGCCAAAAAGGCAAGGGAGAGAACAGGTCTGGGACATAGGAAGGAGGGTGATTATCTGGAAAGGGCCACTTTAAAAGGAGCTGTGACCTTCAGCGACGCCCAAGGTGACGGAAGGGAGGGGGCCAAGACACTAGACAATCCAACCTCACCCTCTTGCCTTCCTTCAGGCTCCCATGGGGGCTCCTGGCTGGCGAACCCCACTGGGAGCTGGAGAGCAAGAGACTGCAGATCTCTATGGGTCATGGAAGTCAATGAAACACAGTTCCTTGAAGGGCTGAACATTCTTGTTTTGCCAAATTCTTGTTTTGCTCATCTTCCACTGAGGAGAGCTCATCTTTCTTCATTGCACTTAGGCAAATAATCTTCCAAAAGCCATTGCCGCCGCTCACACCTTTCTACTGAAGCATCCAGATGACGAAATGATGAAGAGAAACATGGCATACTACAAGAGCCTGCCTGACGCCGAGGACTACATTAAGGACTTGGAAACCAAGTCCTATGAGGTAGTTTTGGGTTCTTAACACAGCCTATAGGACAGTGTGAGTGGCTGAAGAGGCCGGTCTTCATGAACAGCTATCGACGTCTAAGGGCCTCTAATAATTTTTGATGACACTGATGAATATTATGGCAACAAAAATGATGGGCATTTGAGCACAAAGGTGACCCATTTAAGAATGAGATTTTACATTCTATGATGTACCTAAAGCCACCTTTCCTTGAAATGCTGTATTTTAGAAATAAGGTCATTTGATCATTTGGGTTTTTTTTTTTAATGTTTTATTTATTTCTGAGAGAGAGAGACAGTGTGAGCAGGGGAGGGTCAGAGAGAGAGGGAGACACAGAATACGAAGCAGGCTCTAGGGTTTGAGCTGGCAGTCAGCACAGAGCTCAACGCGGGGCTCAAACCCATGAACCGTGAGATCATGACCTGAGCCGAAGTCGGCCACTTAACCGACTGAGCCACCCAGGCGCCCCTGATCATTTGGTTTTTAAGATAGAGGAATAAACACACAGTTTCTGATGAAACTAGAAGACATAACTTTTCTCACAGACACACACACACTGTATGTATTGAGGTGGAGAAGGAATCGAGGAGCTTGGAGGACTGACTTCATAGGTTAGAGACCACTGATCATCTGCAAAGGGGAGTCTCATGAGAGGGAATGCAGAAGAACCTAACCCCTTTGAGCACTTAATGTTGCGTGCAACTGTCAAGCATGGGTGCTGAGGGCATGGGTAACAAACAAGGGTAGGGAAGGGTTGAAAACAGAGGAGTGTGGGAGAGCCTTGGGTGGCTGAGTCAATTAAGCGTCCGACTTCGGCCCAGGTCACGATCTCGCAGTTCGAGACTTCGAGCCCCGCGTCAGGCTCTCTGCTGACAGCGCGGAGCCTGGAGTCTGTTTCACATTCTGTGTCTCTCCCTCTCTCCGCCCTACTTGCCCCCACCTCTCAGGCTCCGTCTCTCTCTGTCTCTGAAAAAAATGAATAAATCTTCAAAGAAACAAACGAACGAACAAAAAACCCAGAGGGATGTGTTCAAAGTATCCACAGGGAGCTGGTAGACCCCAACCACGGTCCAGGGTTTCCTGTGGTGTGACCAGACTGCAGGCTCACTTTTCGACTGGTGGGGACCCTCAGAATCTCTGTTCTGGGGGCCCTTCAGTTTTCCAGGGAAGAATTCTCCAGCCTTTTGCAGGACTGGTGGAGGGCCAGGCTTGTCTGCTGGTATCTGAGAGCCAGTCTGGGGAGAGGGATGGGGGCGCCACAGCCGAGCCAGAGACCTTACCTGCTTCCTGCCTCTCAGCCCCACGCCTCAACCCCCGCCCTCCCATGCCTGGTCCCCGACCCTCCAGCCCTCACGGATCACTGGTCTCCCGTGAGGAGCAGCTTTGGGAGGTGGGATCCCTTGGGTGGGTAGGTGGGTGCGAGAGGAAACCTAGGGCTCCCCGAGCCCCGTTCAGACTTTCAGCGCTGCCTTCCGCTGTGTGCCAGGCACCAGTCTCTGCTCGCCAGTGCCTGCACATGCCAACAGGCGTGCAGTGTAGTACGGTGTGTGGTGTGGGGGGGTCACTCCCCCCAGACCCTCCTCTGTGATCGTTTGACTTTCTGTCCTTCCAAGTGGTGGGTGACTGTGCTTAACTGCGGGTCGGCTGGACCCTTCCTTCCCTCTTCGGAGCCCTGGTGGCCGCGGTGGGGCGGCCCTCGTGTGCGGGCCGGGCCCCTGTCCACGGGCGGCTTTCCTCCTGCTGCCCTGCCCTGCTGCTCCTGCGGGCCCGCCGCCTGGGGTTGCTGCTCGGTGCCCGGTCAGCGCCCTGCCTGCCTCATCTCCAGGGGATGCCGCCTGCTCGGGAGGTTTGGGGAGGTCACCCTCGCAAGCTGACACCTTAAGCTTGGTGAAAAGTCCAGGTCGGAGGGGTGGCCCCTACATAACGCCGTTCTGGAGCAGCTGGAAAAGGACTCTGGGGGGCGGGAGGGCAGACCCTGCTCATCTCCAGGCTCACCTGACCCCCCACACTAGCAGGGTGGTGTATGTACCCAAGGTCTCTGCTTTTATCTTCGGAGACCAAGCGGCTTCCTCAGCCCCAGTTAGTCCTGTCTGTCTGGTCCAGTCAACAATTGGCAGGAAGTCCTTGCCGTCTCCACTGCCCGGCACAGTGCGTGGCTTTCCTCTTTTACACATAGCTGTTGGGGGAAGGGTCCCTGCTGTCACATTTCTATCTTTTCTTTGATTCCATTTTAAAAATCGGCTTTATTGAGATGTAACTTACTTAAAACGTATTCACCAATTTTAAAAGTGTTTAATTCGACGAGTTTTGGTGAAACTGTGCAATTGTGTCACTACCACCATAGTCACAGTATAGAATAGTTTCATGTCCCAGGGGGCGCCTGGGGGGCTCAGTCGGTTCAGCATCCGACTCGGGCTCAGGTCATGATCTTGCAGTTCCTGGGTTGGAGCCCTGCGTCAGGCTCTGTGCTGACAGCTCAGAGCCCGCTTCAGAGTCTATGTGTGTGTCTCCCTCTGCCCCTCCCGTCTCTCTCCCTCTCAGAAGTAAAAAAAAAAAAAAAAAAAAAAAAAAAAAAAAGGAATAGTTTCATCTCCTCTAAAATGTTCCCTCAATGGGGCGCCTGGGTGGCTCAGTCGGTTAAGCGTCCGACTTCCGCTCAGGTCAGATCTCACAGATCGTGGGTTCGAGCCCCGCATCAGGCTCTGTGCTGCCAGCTCAGAGCCTGGAGCTGCTTCAGATTCTGTGTCTCCCTCCCTCTGCCCCTCCCCCACTCACGCTCTGTCTCTCTCTGTCTCAAAATAAATAAACTATAAAAAATTAAAAAATAAAATAAAATAAAATGTTCCCTCAAGCCCCTTTCCAGTCAAGCCTTTTTCCCAACCCCCGGCCGTGGGAGGCCACTGTTCTGATCTTACCGTCGAGCCCCTCCTGCTTTTTGAATTAAATGAGGAGGTACCGTTCGTTGTACACAGGACAGAAACAGCTAGAAAGAAGTCAGTTCCGGGTCGGCTCCTAGTTCGGTCAGGTGGGCGGGGCTTGCTGGGCACTGAGGGGGCGGGGCTCCACGCTGCCCCGCCTCCTTCGCGGCTGCAGCGCCCCCCCCCCCCCCGCCCCCCCTGCCTTCCAGAGCCTGTTCATCCGAGCCGTGCGAGCCTACAACGGCGAGAACTGGAGGACCTCGGTCACGGACATGGAGCTGGCGCTTCCCGACTTCTTCAAGGCGTTTTACGAGTGTCTGGCGGCCTGCGAGGGCTCCAGGGAGATCACGGACTTCAAGGACTTCTACCTTTCCGTTGCAGGTCGGTGGGCGCCCGGTGGCGTCTGCGCGCCTCCCTGGGGGCTTGGCTGACCTCGGCGGAGCCTTGGCGCTTCCCTCTGGCGGGTGGGTAGCTGGGCAGGCACTGTGTAATTGACCTAGCAGGGGCTTCTGGGGAGATAAGTGAGTCCAGTGTCCGGGCCCGGGCCTGGAAAGCGGGCCCGCCGGATCAGCCCTGCAGGCCCACGGATGCCGCACGGGCGTTTGGAAGAAAGAAGAAGGGGCCCAAGAGCGACTCATGACCCTCGTTATACAAAGCGTTACCACGTTAGGCATCTGCGAGCGTGTGGTCCATTGTCGTACCGCCACCGCCACCATCCACCTCCCCAAGGGGAAAGTCTGCGCCCAGTGACCACCAGCTCCCACCCTCCTTCCCCCAGCCCCTGACCGCCACCGTTCTACTTCCCGTCTCTAGGAATTTGGCTGCTCTAGGTACCTCGGATAAGCGGAATTATATAGTGTTTGTCCTTTTGTGACTGGCTTATTTTACTTAGCGTAACATCCTCAAGTTTCAAAAATATTGTCACAAATTGGTCGCCTTTTATGTTTATTTATTTAACGTTTATTTATTTTTTAAAATTATTATTTTTTTAAAAATGTCTTGTTGATTATTTTTGAGAGACAGAGAGACACAATGCGAATGGGAGAGGAGTAGAGAGAGAGGGAGACACGGAATCCGAAGCAGGCTCCAGGCTCTGAGCTGTCAGCACAGAGCCCCGTGCACGGCTGGAACCCACCCATCACCCACCCACCGTGGGATCATGACCTGAGTCAAAGTCAGATGCTTAACCGACTGAGCCCCCCAGGCACCCCTATGCTATTGATTTTCTTTATGCCATTGATATTTTTTAAGAATATAAGCCACTCACTTTATAGACTGTCCCTTGGTATGACTTTCTACTCTGTGTCCTCACAATTATATTCAGGTTGTGCACTTTGGGCTGGAACATTACGGAAGTATGCTTCTCAGGGTATCGCATCCAGATGTACATGGTGTCTGTTTGCTCCGTACTGTGATGTTCGTTTTTGAGCACTGGTTAAGATACTTCCAGTTCCCAGTTTCTCTACAGTACTGTTTTTCCTTTTGATATTCATACATAATTTGTGAAGAGATACTTCAAGACTCGGACAATTTGTTGTCCGAACTAAATCTACACCCCCTCCCCCACTACCACACACATACCGATTTAGCATGTTCGGAAGGTTCTTGCCTGATTCTTTTTTCTCTATAAAGTTTGTGTATATACATATATGTTTTTCTGTATTTTTATGTTTGCTTCTTTCATACCAAATAGGTACCATACTTTATACGCTGTTCTGTTCTTTGTTTTTTTCCACTTAGCAGTATATCTACGTAGCACCTAGAGATAGTCTTTCTTTTTTATTGTTGCTGAGTACTCCATTGAGGGGTGGGGGAAATAATACTCCACAGTTTATTGGGGCGCCCGGGTGGCTCAGTGGGTTAAGTGTCCGACTTCAGCTCAGGTCATGATCTTATAGTCAGTGAGTTCGAGCCCCACATCAGGCTCTGTGCTGACAGCTCAGAGCCTGGAGCCTGCTTCGGATTCTGTGTCTCCCTCTTTCTCAGTTCCTTCGCCACTCAGGCTCTGTCTCTCGCTGTCTCTCAAAAAGGAATACATGTTAAAAAAATTTTTTAAAAATACTCCACAGTTATTCAGTTATCTGATGGACGTTTGGTTTGTGCCAATCTTTTGCTATTACATGTAATATTGCAAAGGGGAATTTAAAGTTTTTTTTGTTTTTGCAAAATGTGGAGGTATGTTTTCAAAGTCAACATAAGTGGGATTGATAGTTCAAAGAGTAGATGCCTCTGTAAATTATTTAGTATTTTATGGTACCATTTTGTATTCCTACCAAAAGTGTAGGAGAGTCCCTGTCCTCCACAGTCTTGTCAACAAAATATGCACCATCATCCTGGCCTCTTCTGCTTCTGACTGCGTCGGGGGAGAAAAGGAAAAGGGCCAAGGATCATGTGGGGGACTTTGGAGACCAGTCCCAGAAGTGGTGGAAGTAGCATTCATTAGTTGTTGCTGTCCACATTTCAGTGGCACAATTACTCATATGGCCCCAACCAAACTGCAAAGGAGGCTGGGAAATGTAGTCTTTGACATCTTTCTGTTATATGTAGGTCTATCTATTCTCTTTGAAAGGGTGTATAGATTCTGTGGTTTGTCTGCACCATAGCTGAGTAATACTAGCCTGTTGATTGGCATTTAGGTTACTTCCAAGTCTGTTTGCTGTTACAAACGTTGCCTGTGTGTGCCTATGTCTGAAGAAAGTTTCCTAGACGGAGACTGCTGGGTCTGAGAACTTGTGTATTTTAACTTTGATACATTTTGCCAAGTTCGTCTCTAAAACCTGTGTTCCTGTTTTGCTTCTATCAGCAGAATATGAGACTGTGAGTTTCACCATTTTCTTTCTAAGCCTGAGTGTTACCAAATTTTAAAAATTTTGCCTATTTATTTATTTGTTTGTTTTTAATGTTTTATTTATTTCTGAGAGAGAGAGACAGCGTGAACAGGGGAGGCTCAGAGAGAGAGAGGGAGACACAGAATCTGAAACAGGCTCCAGGCTCTGAGCTGTCAGCACAGAGCCTGATGTGGGGCTTGAACTCACAAACCATGAGATCATGACCTGAGCCGAAGTTGGATGCTTAACCGACTGAGCCACCCAGGGACCCTGGACTGTGTTTCTTCATTACAAATGAAGTGTAACATCTTTTCCCAATGTTTATCAATCATGTTTTCCATGTCTTTTCTGTGAACATCCTGTGGTCATTTTTAAATTGGGTGTTTGTCTTCTTCTCACTGATTTTAAGGAACTTTGTATATTAAGGATTTTAGCCCATTTATCCTAAGTGTTGCAACTATTTTACCTTTATTATCTTTACCTTTTGCCGGGATCATGAGGGAGAGGGGGCAGAAGTAGTTTCAAGGAACTAATGAACGCAGGGCTGCCTGGTTGGCTCAGTTGGTGGAGCCTGTGACTCTTGATCTCGGGGTGGTGAGTTCAGGTTCCACGTTGGGTACAGAAGTGACTTAAAAACTAGAAAACAAAAACAAAACAACAAAAAAGAAACCAATGAATGTACTGCTCTGAAAACCCGTGTGTATTCTTTCAGATCATTATGTAGAAGTCCTGGAATGCAAAATACAGTGCGAAAAGAACCTGACCCCCGTTGTAGGAGGCTACCCAGTGGAGAAGTTTGTGGCCACCATGTATCATTATTTGCAGTTTGCTTATTATAAATGTGAGTAATGCTCTTCCACAGGATGTTGGGCAAAGTTCTCAATCCTCCTGTGACTCGACCTCCCCGTCTGTACAAATAGGGCTGAGAACGCTTAACCTCTGGTCAAGGTCACGTTCACAGCCCCATTGCCGGGCCTCGCACAGAAAGGTAGCAAGGCCTGGTGATTCAGGGCTCAGACCCTCGGTTTAAATCTCGGCTTCATCACTTACTAACTTCTCTGTGTCTCGGGTCCTCATGTGTAAATTAGAGGTCACTGTACAACCTCCTGAGGCTGTCACGAGGGCTACATGAGTTGACAGGTGTGGAATGCTTAGGGTATTCGTACACTGGTCCATGGCAAACCTCTATAAAGTATTTGTCCTTTTTATTATTATTTCCTCCCTCTCATCAGCCTTACTTTGCAGACTGACCGTTACTCCATTTGGTCCTCCGCTGGCCTGAAATTGGAGTTAATCGATCAGAGCATTCCAAGGAGTTACAGGGAAACAAATGTGAGAGAAGGGGGTTCAGAGTTGAGACTTGAGTGTCTTTTCACCCTCCCCTTCTCTCCCTGTAACTGACGTTGTCGAGCGCCCCTTGTTTGAGCCTTGTGTACCTTCCGGTGCCGTGACGAGCGCTGGAAGGTCCTTCCGTCCAGGGAGGGGCTGGTCGCGGGGACTCAGAGTGCCAGGTGGCCTGGGCTCCCGCAGCCCTGTCTCCCTACTGTGGCTGTTGTGTTCTTCGTCCAGATCCCTCTTCCCGCCAAGGCCACCTGCCTTTTTGTCCCACCTCCTGTCACTCTTCAGCGTGCTCTGGAAGATTTGCCTGCTGAAGGTTAAAAAAGGGCCCCCCCAAAAAGATTTCTACTGTATGTATATATGTATATGTACATGTATATGTGATATAATATATTGATACATATATACATATGAATGCTTTACATTTTTAATTTCCATCATCAGAATTGTTCCTGAGAAGGCTGGGTAGGCCGTCCTTTATACCAGAGCTTTGGGAGTAAGGGAAATGGGCTCTTCGAGCCGTGAACCTGCTATTACGACAGCCTGGCCCTCCCCTAAGGATGCAACGAAATGTCCTTGCTTGGGACATCTCAGGTCAACAGGAGGGGAGGTGTGTCTTCCGCAGGTGTCCTTCGCCTTGCGCAGAGGGTAGGGATGAAGTTTTATTCACCCCCGTAATCCTAGCACCAGCTGTTTGGTGAAAGACAATTTACACGGAGGACAACAGTCTTATTCTGTATAATCTCTGGACGTGCTTTCACGTGAGACGGTGTGAAGCTCACAGCAGGTCCCCAGCAAAAATATATTTGGGTGCATTTCAGTGTTGAGGGGACGATTTTTTCCTATGCAGTATTTTTGCTTATGAAGAGGCCTCTTTTTTAGTGTAAGTGATTGATTAGTGCTTTCTTTCAAAAAGGCTTATAGTTACAGGCAACGAAACATCTCGGAGATGCACAGAGAACCATCCAAAGCAAGCCACGTGTTCCTCTCTCCCTATACTCCTCTCCCCAGTCCCAGTGTTAGCTTGTATTTCTCCATACTTGAAAGAGCCCTGTTTTGTTCTGTTTTAAGATTTTATTTTTAAGTACTCTCTACCCGCAGCATGCAGCTCACGAGTCCAATAGTCACATACTGCACTGACTGAGCCAGCCAGGTGCCCCGGGAAGAGCCTTGTTTTAATGAGTATCATGGACAGTCATGTACATTTTTTAAACTTATTCTGGAAACTTAAAATCATACGTTAGAGAGAGTGGTAGTATGCCCTTCACCCAGCTTCAACTTTTGCCAACACTTTGCCAATCTTGGATTTGCAGTTTGAAAGTTTTCTGTTGGATGAAAACACAAGCTTGTGTTTTAGTTGTTGTTGTTAATAAGCTAGTGGTTTTATTTCATTTTCACAAAAAATCTGTGTTGGCACCACCCCGAGCTAGGCCCCGGGTTGGACTTTGAAACCCAGGGAAGAATCCATCAGGTGTTCTAGCCCTCTGAGCCCGGCTGGGTGCCGTGTGCACAAAGCCAGAACAGGAACAGTTTAAGAATGTTCCAGATAATCCAGGCTCTGGCAGCAACCGGGTCCTCGAAATTCTCACAGGCTCAGAAAATCGCCCTGCGTCTAGGAAACTGTGGCAATAACTTATAAACACTGGTAGAGCAAAACCTCTAGATCTGTTTGCTGCTTCAAAAGAAAATCTTTGCTTTCTGGGTTTATAGGTAAACAGTATGAGTTAACATTTACTTCCTGAAGTTGGCTTCTTGGAAGTCGGTCCTGTTGTGAACTATTATCTACATGATCTGCCACTCTAAATTTTTTGAGGGCAGGTGTTGTTAATTTACACTTGAACCCCGGCCCTGCAATGCCTTGACATAGTGCCTGTCTCAGCCTTGTAGACCTTGTGAATAGCACGAGCCCTTACGTGCTGCTTTAAGGTTGTTGTTACAGAAAACAGCCACTAGGCGGCACAATTTATTCATACCCAAGTTTTGGTTACTCCTGGCCAAGCTGAGCTTTAGCAAAGGCGGTGTTCTGGGTTGTAAATTGGAGTGTAATGTGTCAGGATAAATGACCAGGGGCTTATGGCTTATCACCCCTTTCTCCTCAGCCACGCAAAACAAATCCCAGCCCCTGCAGATCCCCTGTGCTGAAGGTGCTATTGTAGGTGCGGCAACTCTAAGGCGGGGCGCTAGAGGTGGGAACCCCAGGACATGTCAGTACCAGGTGGCTTCAGATCTCTTCCAGCCCAGAGGGCCCACCACCCTTTGGGTTTCCCAGCTTTGGGAGCTATGGGAGGGCCGCCTGGAGCTGGGGTGGGGGGGGTGCTATTCACATGGGACCCAGGCACATCCTCCCTTCCTCCCTCAGCCCGGGAGGACAGTCCAGGCCTTGCGACCCAGCCTTCCCGGCCCAGGCCAGTGGATCCTCAAGTGCAGTATAATAGACATTTCTGCAAAGGCGTCTGCCTAACGAGGAACTTCCATGTTTGAAACCACTCGCCAGGCTGCTTTGGGGACCCGGTCTGTGGCCTGCGCAGCCAGGGATGGTCCCTCACAGGTTTCCCGAGGAGGGGAGGTGCCGAAGGGGCTGGAGCAGGGGCGTTGTCTTCAGGCAGCTGTGCTGATGGGGGGGATTTCAGGGCAGGGGGTGCTGATTTCCTGTTCCTCTTCTCTCCCCGGCCTCAGTGAACGACCTGAAGAACGCGGCCCCCTGTGCGGTCAGCTACCTGCTCTTTGACCACAGCGACAAGGTCATGCAGCAGAACCTGGTGTATTACCAGTACCACAGGGACAAGTGGGGCCTCTCAGACGAGCACTTCCAGCCCAGACCTGTAGGTGGCGTTTCTTCTCACGTTCAGGATGCTGACGCAGCCTTAGTGCCGCAACGGAGGGGGACTCCTCTCCTTCTGTCGTTTTGTTTTGTTTTGTTTTGTTTTGTTTTTGTCCTTTAACATTTTACTGCTCTATTCTGATTCCTAAAGCAGTAGAAATTACCCATGTCCAACATGACAAAAATGTTTTACTTAGAAAGTGAAATTCTTTCCAAGTCCCGTACCTTTTCTCTACCCCCTGCTTTACAGCTTATATATATAGCACATCAGTTTTTTGTTTTTACGGAAACAGGGTCTTGTGCACGTTGCTTTGTCTTTCTGACGATTCCTTGTGCATGTTTTCCGCATTACCTTCATACCCTGACTTGTGTTTTCGCACGTCCAAGGCAGGTTTGTTTATGGCTGGACCATCATCTAATTCACTTGATGGTCAGGCCCAGCTTGGCGTGTGTTGCCAGGGAGCTCCAGGGATTATATATTGCTTTTTAAAAAATTTTTAAAATTTTTGAGAGCAAGGCAGAGAGAGTGCGCGAGTGGGGGAGGGGCAGAGAGAGGACAGAGGATCCAAGGTGGGCTCTGCCCTGACTGTGGGGGTCGAACTAAAGAACCGTGAGATCATGACCTGAACTGAAGTCGGATACCTAACCGACTGAGCCACCCAGACACCCCCTATATTACTTTTATTTTTATTTATTTATTTATTGATTTATTTATTTTAAATATTTTTATTTATTTCTAGGAGAGAGAGAGAGACAGCGTGAGCAGGGGAGGGTCAGAGAGAGAGGGAGTCACAGACTGAAACAGGCTCCAGGCTCTGAGCTGGCAGTCAGCACAGAGCCCGACGCGGGGCTCGAACCCACAAACTGCGAGATCATGACCTAAGCGAAAGTCGGACGCTTAACCGACTAAGCCACCCAGGTGCCCCTATTTATTTATTTTTAAAATTTTTTAAAATTTATTTCTAGGAGAGAGAGAGAGAGAGACAGCGTGAGCAGGGGAGGGTCAGAGAGAGAGGGAGACACAGACTCTGAAATAGGCTCCAGGCTCTGAGCTGGCAGTCAGCACAGAACCGCGAGATCATGACCTAAGCGAAAGTCGGACGCTCAACCGACTAAGCCACTCACGCGCCCCATCCCCCTATATTACTTTTAAAAGAGCCTTTGAAATTGGCCTTTGCTCCTAACTTGTTTTTCCATTGGGATTTTTATGTGCTCTCCTGGTTTGTTGTCCATACTTTTCCTTCATACCTCACTCCCGTGCTAACACGCATACACACTTGCTCTCTCGCTCTCCCCCACTCTCTTACTCAGGGCTGGCTGCTCTTTTTAAATTGAGATATAATTCATATATAGTAAAACTCATGCTTTTAACATGTACAGTTGAGTGGCTTCTAGCATGTTCACGGAGCTGTACAGCCATGACTCCACTCTCCAGTCGGAAACACTTGCATCACCCCCAAAGGAAATCCACACCCTTTCCCCCTCCTCCCCGTTCTGACACTGGAAGGCCGGCCATGGAAACTGTTCTCTGTCTGTGTCTCAACAGGAAGCAGTTCAGTTCTTTAACGTGACTACGCTCCAGAAAGAGCTGTATGACTTCGCTAAGGAGAACATAATGGATGATGATGAAGTAAGTTTGCGCGGGTAGCACACGTCTGGCTCAGAGAAAATATTACTCACATCTTTGCTCAAGTCACTGGAAGCACCACAGCCCTGCAGCAGAAGGGGACCTGGAGAAATTCGGTCTCTGTGGGCGTTGTAAAGGAAGTTAGGGCACCGGGGAGCGGAAAGCCGGCTTTCTAGGAGACACAGGCCGCAGCCCCGCTTTCCCCACAGTGAGTGTGGAGGAGCCTGTCAGGGAGGTCACCAACATATCCGTTTCTAACTTTATAAAAACACAGTGGATTTTCAATTGCTCAGTGCCCTGAACACCTTGGAAACCCTCACCCCAATTCTTCTGCGCTATGATTACCTCTTTTTGTGGATTAGGTCCTTGCTGTGCGGTATTTTATCGTTCTCTGAGATTGCTTGACCTTCCCGATTTCAGCTGACTCCTTTTTTGAGGAAGACTCTGCCGCTGGGAGCATTTGGAACGGGGCAGCCTCGTCACAGAAGAGTCCTCGTTGGGGGCAGTATTCAGGGAGATGTATTTGAAACAACCTAGGTCCCTAGCACCCTCTAGGTGTGCTAGACTCTCCGGCTGTTGGTGTGTGTTCTGACCTGACCCCTCACCTCTGAGCAGCTAGGCGAGACCCACAGGCTCAGGGCCTTGGGTCTTCTCTTTCCACTGCCTTGGGTTGCGGTGGAGCGCTTCTAACTAAGATATTGTGGGATTTGTTTTGGGTGCACAAATTTGCAGGGGGTGCAATGTCACTGGTATTCATTGGATTTCCCAGAGCTTCTTTTCTTCATTTATAAAACGAGATTAATAACGCTGACTGCATGGGGTTGGGAAAATGCAATTCTGTGCTGCATGTGGAAGAGATTTATAGGCTGGGAGATGACCGTTGTGGCATGTGTCTGAGAAGCAGAGCGGGAGATAAGGTCACAAGGATGCTGTAAAGGAAGGAGAGCCGGCGTGATACAAACAGAGTTGACCATTGTTGTTTGGAATGTGGAGAAAACTCTATTTAGAAACAGGGAGAGCTGAGTTCCTAATTATCTAGAGGAAGCCCCTACTGACATTTTGATATGTATACCTCCATTTTTTCTATACATTTTCCAATATATATTCATTACAAACCCAACTGTAATATATATCATGGCATTTCCATTTAATACTGTAATATGAGGCGCTTCCTTGTTATGTTTTTCTAGAACTTTATTGAAATATTATTCACACATCATAAATTCTCCTTTTTAAAGTACAAATATAGTGGTGTTTAGTGTACTCCCAAAGTCGGGCATCCACCATGACAATCTAACTTTAGAGCATTTCCAACCCCCCCAAAAGAAATCCCAAACCTGTTAGTAGTCTTGTTCCCCATTCCTTCTCCTCTGCCCACCACTCCCCTACCACTGCCCCCAACCCTTGGCAACACAAATCTACTCTCTGTGACTCTGGATTTGCCAGATCTGGACGTGTGTATAAATGGAATCATGTGGCATGTGGTCTTTTGTGACCAGCTTCTCTCACTGAGCCTAATGTTTTTAAGGTTCAACCATGTTGTAATATGTATTCTGTTACATGTAAATTTCCATTTTATTGCTGAATAGTATTCCACTGGATGGACATACCACCTTTTTGTTTACCTGTTCCTCTGTTGATGGACATTTGTACTGGGTTCTTTCCACTTCTGAGCCATTTTGAATAAGGACACTATGAACATTTGTGTCCATATTTTTGTTTGGACAAAAGTTTTTAATTCTCTTACAGACCAAGGAGTATATACGTGGAAGGGGAATTGCTGGGTAATACGGTAACTATACGGTTACCTTGTGGAGAAACTCCCAGACTGTTTTCCAAAGTGGCTGCACCATATTACATTCCCATAAAATTTCTTAAAAAAATTTTTTTAATGTTTTATTTATTTCTGAGAGAGAGAGAAATAGCGTGATCTGGGGAGGGTCAGAGAGAGAGGGAGGCACAGAATCTGAAACAGGCTCCAGGCTCTCAGCTAGCTGTCAGCACAGAGCCCGACATGGGGCTCAAACCCACGAACCGCGAGATCATGACCTGAGCCGAAGTCAGATGCTTAACTGACTGAGCCACCCAGGCGCCCCTCCATAAAATTTCTAACTTGCTACATCTTTGTCAGCATTTCTTGGTGTTTGTCTTTTCTCTTACAGCCTAGCAGGTAAGAAATAGTATCTCATTGAGGTTTGAGGTTTGAATGTTCATTTCCCTAATGACTAATCACATTGAGCATTCTTTCATATGCTTACTAGCCATTTGTGTATCTTCTTTGGAGAGATGTGTAGCCTGTTCAGACTCTGCCCATTTTTTATTTGGATTCCTTTTCTTTTTACTGTTGCATTATAAGAGTTCTTTATATATTCTGGTTATAAGTCCACTTGTCAGATAAATGAATTGCAAATATTATCCTGCAATTCGTGGGTTTCCTTTTCGTTTTCCTAGTAGTATCCGAAGGCATAAAAGTTTTAAATTCTGATGAGATTCCATGTATCTGTTTCTTCCTTTTTGCTTGTGTTTTGGTGTTAATCTCTAAGAAACTATCACTTAATTCAAGATCATGAAATTTTACTCCTTTTTTTTAAGATTTCTATAATTTTAAGACTTTAGATCTACAGTCTACTTTGAGTTGATTTTGCATATGATGTGAGGTAAGGGTCCAGTTTCATTCTTTTACATACGGGTAACCAGTTGCCCCAGGAGCATTTGTTGAAAAGACTTTCTTTCCCATTAATTTGTCTTGGTGCCCTTGTTGCAACTGACCATAAATGTGAGGGTTTATATCTGGGCTCTCAGTTCGAATCCATTGATCCGGATTTACCGCGCTGTCTTGAATACTGTAGCTTTGTACTACATCTTGAAACTGAAAATGTGAGTCTTCCGATTTCATTCTTCTTCTAGATGGCTTTGACTCTTCTTGGGTCCCTTGCATTTCCATATGATTTATAGGATCAGCTTGCCAATTTCTGTAAAAGTCAGCTGGGATTTTTGATAGGAATTGGGCTAAATCTGAAGATCCTTTGGATAGCATTGACATCTTTTTAAAAAAATTATTATTATTTTTTTAAAATTTACGTCCAAGTTAGTTAACAGATTGTGTAATAATAACTTCAGGACTAGAATTTAGTAATTCATCCTCTACATATAACACCCGGTACTCATCCCAATAAGTGTCCTCCATAATGCCCCTTGCCCATTTAGCCCATCCCCTACCCACAACCTCTCCAGCAACCCTCAGTTTGTTCTCTGTATTTAAGAATCTTTTACGGTTTGTCTCTCTCCCTGTTTTTATATTGTTTTTGCTTCCCTTATGTTCATCTGTTTTGTATCTTACTTTCCACATATGAGTGAAGTCATATATTTGTCTTTCTCTGACTTCTTTCACTTAGCCTAATACACTCTAGTTCCATCCATGTTGTTGCAAATGGCAAGATTTCATTCTTTTTGATCGCTGCGTAATATTCCGTTGTATATATATACCACATATTCTTTATCCATTTGTCAATCAATAACATTTGGGCTTTTTCCATACTTTGACTATTGTCAGTAGCGTTGCTGTAAACATTGGGGTGCATGTGTCCCTTTGAAACAGCACACCTGTATCCCTTGGATAAATACCTATTACTGCAATTGCTGGCTTGCAGGGTAGTTCTATTTTTAATTTTTTTGAAGAACTTCCATACTGTTTTCCAGAGTGGCTGCACCAATTTGCATTCCCACCAGCAGTGCCAAAGGGTTCCTCTTTCTCTGCATCCTTGTCAACATCTGTTGTTGCCTGCGTTGTTAATGTTAGTCATTCTGACAGGTGTGAGGTGGTATGATTGTGGTTTTGATTTGTATTTCCCTGATGATGAGTGATGTTGAGCATGTTTTAATGTGTCTGTTAAACATCTGGATGTCTTCTTTGGAGAAGTGTCTATTCATGTCTTTTGCCCATTTCTTTTTTTAAACTTTTTAAAAAATGTTTTACTTATTTCTAAGAGAGAGAAACAGTGTGAACAGGGGAGAGTCAGAGAGAGAGGGAGACACTGAGCCAGCCGTCAGCACAGAGCCCGATGCGGGGCTTGATCCCACAAACCATGAGATCATGACTTGAGCCAAAGTCAGACGCTTAACTGACTGAGCCACCCAGGCGCCCCCTTTTGCCCATTTCTTCACTGGATTATCTGTTTTTGGGGTGTCGAGTTTGAAACGTTTTTTATAGATTTTGGATACTAGCCCTTTATTTGATACATTATTTGGAAATATTTTCTCCCATTCCATTGGTTGCCTTTTAGTTTTGCTAACTGTTTCCTTTGCTGTGCAAAAGCTTTTTATCTTGATGAGGTCCCAGTTCATTTTTGCTTCTGTTTCCTTTGCCTCCAGAGATATGTCAAGTAAGAAGTTGCTGCAGCTGAGGTCAAAGAGTTTGTTGCCTGTTTTCTCCTCTAGGATTTTGATGACTTTCTGTCTTACATTTAGGTCTTTCAACCATTTTGAGTTTATTTTTGTGTATGGTATAAGAAAGTGGTCTGGGTCCATTCTTCTGCATGTCGCTGTCCGGTTTTCCTAACACCATTTGCTAAAGAGACTGTCTTTTTTTCCATTGGATATTCTTTCCTGCTTTGTCAAAGATGAGTTGGCCATACATTTGTGGGTTCAATTCTGGGTTCTCTATTCTGTTTCATTGATCTGTGTGTCTGTTTTTGTGCCAATACCATACTGTCTTGATGGTTACAGCCTGAAGTCCAGAATTGTGATGCCTCCAATTTAGTTTTCTTTTTAAGGTTTGCGTTGGCTATTCATGGTCTTTTCTAGTGCCATACAAATTTTAGGTTTGTTTGTTAGCTCCATGAAGAATGCTAGTGTTGTTTTGATAGGGATTGCAGATAGGATTGACATCTTAACAGTATTAAGTCTTCTGATCCATTAACATGGGATGTCTTTCCACTTCTGTAGGTCTCCTTTAATTTCCTTCAATAATGCTTTGTTACATTTCATTAAGAAATGAAATTTTGCAAATGGAATGTTTTCTTATTTTTATTTTCAATTGTTCACTGCTAGTAGATAGAAATACAGTTGATTTTCGTATATTGATATTATAATTCTGCAAGTTTGTGGAACTTGTTTATTCTAATTTTTCGTATATTGATATTATAATTCTGCAAGTTTGTGGAACTTGTTTATTCTAATAGTTGTGTGTATGTGTGGAGTTGCCTAGGAATTTCTATATACAAGATGATGTTATCTATGAATAGAGGTGGTTTTACTTCTTCTCTTTCAGTCTGGATGACTTTTATTTATTTCTCTTTGCTAATGGCCCTGACTAAAACCTCCAGTAAAATGTCGAATAGAAGTAGAGAGATTGGAAATCCCTGTTTTGTTCCCAATTTTAGAAGTAAAACATTTGCTGTTAGCATTAAGAATCTGTTAACTCCAGGTTTTTTGGTAGGTGCCCTCTGTCAGGTTGAGAAAGTTCCCCTTCTACTCCTAGTTTGTCAAATGTTTTTATCATGAAATGGTGTTGAATTTTGTCAGTTGCTTTCTTCTACATCTATTGAGACAATCGTGTGGCTTTTGTTAACCTTGTTAGTTAATGTTTATTATAAACATGACTTTTCAGTGACTAATAGTCCGTGGTATGGATTTTTAAGCTTTTTGTTTTTATAAGCATTTTAGGTTGCTTCCGTCTTTTTGCTTTCACAAATAACACAGCTGTGACTAAATTGGTTACATTTTTTCTGGTCATTTCCTTAGGATAAATTCCTATGGGTAGAATTCCTGGGTCTAAGGCTATGAACATTTTGAAGGTTTTTGATGTACACAAACAATATATTCAGAAAAATCATAGGTGTTAGAACAACAGGAAAACTTTATGATATTCAGCAAAGCTCTCTCTCACATCACAGATGAGGAAATAAATTCAGAAAGGTAAATGACTTACTCAAAGTAACACAGTTAGTTAGTAACCATCCATTGAACACCAGGATTATTCTAGGCTTTAAAATTCCTAGGATTTTTGCACTTGACACTGTCAAGATAAAGGAGTCTGTTGAAGGGCCTTAAAGTATTTAGCTTATTAATCAAAGCTTTAGAATTGTGTACAGCTACTTTCTTTTCCATGTATCAAATTATGGCAAGTAATTATTTGAAATAAATATAATCAATACAATAAAATTCTTAGCTTAATCTTTAAAATTCCAAAGGCAAAACACTACACTGAAACAAAACATCACTATGATTCAGCTACTGATGTTAGTGGCTTTTCCCTTTATTATCTTTGTGGGGTTGAAATGTGTTGTAAAAGCTCCTAAAAGTTTGCACACTAGCTAAAAAATTTGCAGATGCTTATTAGAGTCTCAGAAACTTTATAAAGCAGGTTGAAATAGATGCTTCAAGTTTCAGGTTCTGATGCTTGTTTGTTTCGGGGGATCTAAAATAGATGATCATTTGCAGGCCTGATTGACTGGGGGTGTACTCTCAGGGAGGAAAGGAGTGAGGGGCAGGGGAAAGAGCCATGAAAATACAAGACCTTGGCTGGAGTCGGGCTCAGTCTGATTCCATGGGCGCCCTGGGGCATGAACTGTACCATAGAGCTCATCTTGCATTCTGTAGGCACCGTATCATTCTCTCCGTGGTTGTTGGCAGCCTGGAGGGGTTGCGGTGTAAACTCCCTGGTAGGGCTGCTCCTTCTGGCCAAGATCAGTTGTCCAGAGAAGGGGCAGCTATAAGCCATCAGCAGCCATCCATCACCCCCAGCAGCGGGGAGGGGGGGGGCGGCGGGTGCACCCGAAAGTAGATCTGAGCTGGGCACGGACAGTCTCCACTCTAACGGGCCGCAGAGGGGGCTGTTTCTTTCATCTGTGTCACCTCGGGTACTTATTAGTGAGCTAAGAGCAAATGAAACCGTCACCCCAATGTCACAGCAGCCACATGGCAGGGAACAGTAACTCTGGGAGCAGCTGTCATGGCCATACATAAAATCCCTCTACTGTGTTTCCCTTTTGGGACCCAGAAAGCAACGGAAGCAGACATCGTTTTTGCAGTCAGTCGTCTTCCACTTCTGTAGCTTTAGCTTCTAATCTCAGGCATCGTATGGTGGAAATATTTGGTGAAAATAATAAGACCCCCTTTTGTGTCTCATGTACTTGGTAGATTTCCCATCTATTCTCTGATGCTGAGAGGTCATCCCAGGAAGTGTGTTAAAATATCAAAAGGAGCAGAGAGGATCTGGGCCTGTGATGGTGACTGGTGACCTCTTTGAGGGAGGCCAAGCATTAGCAGGGGTGCTTGGCACTGGGGGCGGGGGGGGGGGCGGCCCTCGTGGGAGTCAGACTCGGCCTCCTTGGCAGTAAAGAAAATGAGTGTCATCAGCTGCTGGCCCAGGTGTGTCCATGCAGAGCAGGAAACTGGAAAGTGTGCTGGGCTATGAGGTTGAGGATTAAGGCTGATTGCTGGGGGTGGTGGTGGGGGTGGTGGTGGGGGTGGTTCTGGAACTGACTGTGGGCAGGTGAGTCCTGCTGCACCCAAGAGACTGTCTTGGGAACGGGGTGGCTGCTTCAGCCACACACACACCCCCTTCCTTTAGCAGGTTTCCAACCGTCTCCATTCCGGGCTCGAGGAAGAAAAGTAACCCAGGTCCCGGTCCTCGAAAAGCTCATGACCTGCTGGCCAGCATAGAAAGGGGACAGATAGAGAGTGCTCCTGTGGAGTGACTACTAAGAAGGGGGGTGTCCAGGAAAGGGGGCTCTAAACAGGTCTCTCAGGGTGTGGCTGGGCTGCCCCTGCCCTCCTCTCCAGGGCATCTGGGGGGCTTGCTGAGCGCTTGATTCCAAGTTCACGTGGAGTGGAAGCCAGGTCCCCTCCCAGGCAGAGGCACCGTTAAGGGCAGGCAGCCCACTTGACGGAAGTGTCCTGTTGTCTCTCAGGGCGAGGTTCTGGAGTACGTCGATGACCTCCTGGGGCTGGAGGAGACCGGCTAGTCTGCAGCGAAGAGGTGGCCCAGATGTCCCGGAGACGGACTCTTCCCGCTTGCCCCGGGGGCCCGCGTTGTTGATACCTCAACGCCTTCTCTTGACTCTGGGAAGTGAAAGGGGAGCCCCAGCTCTCACCACATAAATACGGGGTGAGCCCGCCTTCCCCGGGACCACACCTGCCTCCTCACCTTCTTCCCATGTTCACGCCCGTGCCCCTCCCCGTCTTCACACCTGTCTTCTCCGTGCTCACACCTGCCTCTCTCACTGTTTTGGTTGAAAGCGCAGTCTTCCATTCCCTGCCCCATCCAGAAAAATCACCATTATTTTTTTTTTAATAAGAAAAATACTCCTAAAATTAGATTATGGTGAAAACCTATTTTGGGCCTTGTGCCCTTCCGGGTTTTAGGCTCCATTATCCCCGTGCCCTGACCCAGGAGAGGCAGTGGAAGCACAGGCCAGGCTTCCCCGCCCCCCGTGACAGCGCTCAAGTGGTCTGACCCGCCTCATTCTGGCGCCCACCGAGAGAGGCCGGGCAGATAGTACAGACGCCAGAAACATGGCTTTGGCCCAACGCGTCTGCGTGTCCAAAGTCTTACAATGGTTGGCCAGTCCCTCTCGGGGACCATAGTCGGTTACAAGTCTCAGAGTTGGAACTGGAAGGAAGCAGAGGGAGTCTGGCTTCATTCCTTTTTCTCAATAAATACTTATTGAGCACCTACTACATGCTAGACGTTGACCTGGGCACTGGAAACACTGTGCAGAGTGACAGGAAAAAACTCCCTGCCCTCTGGAGCCTATGTCTTCTAAGGGAGACAGGCAAATAAATAAAAACAAATGTATATAAATTATCAAGCGTGGTCATTGCTGTGGGAGAAAAAATGAAGCAGGGAAGTGGGTAAGGAGGCCCGGACATGAGGCTACAGTTTTAAATAGGATGGGCAGGGAAGACGTCACTGAGAAGGTGGCATCACGGCAGGGACTTCAGGGAAAAGTGTTCCAGGCAGAGGGAACAGCATGTACAAAGCTTTCCATTGAGAACGTGTTTGCTGTGGTCAAGGAGGCCACGGAGAGGAGGGGGGCCGGAGAGAGAACGGAAGGCGATAAGGCTGAGAGGCATAAGTGACGAGGCAGGACAGAGCCCCGATGGCTTAGGCCAGTGTAAGGCTTCTACCCTGGGGGAGATGGGAGCCACTGGGAGAGTGCCCCGACCGCCTGGGTCCCTCCAGCTGCCCTGAGAGTGAGCCAGGGCGGACGCAGGATTACCTGGGCGGTTGTGATGGAGACGTGAGAAGTGGTCGGATGCCGGCTTATTCTGAAAGCAGGGCTCTTTTGCTGACACATTGGATGTGGAGCATAAGAGAACGGGGCTAACGGTGGCCTCCAGGGTTTTGGCCAGAGCAACGGGAAGGATGGAGTTGCCACCCACTGAACATTGGGCTGAGTAAGGAGCGTGGTGCAGAGCAGCTGTCTGAGGCTGGGCTGCACGGCTCAGGCTGCAAATAAAATTCGAGCAGCTTCTTAGATCAGGTCTTCAACAGAGCCTGAACCAGGATCCAAACGCCTGTGGTTTATCATGGGGGCACATTCGGCAGACACATATAAGGTCTCCATCACTGAGTCATTGGCTGTCCCTGAGTGGGTCGGGGTGGACCTTTGCCAGCAAGAAGCTTGGTCAGCCGATGGCAGTTCTCTGGAAAGGGGACTGTGGAGCACTGGCAGTGGAGAGGCCCAGCAAGGGGCTGGGCGCAGGGGTGTGGCCCTGGGAGGGGGTCTGGGAGGAGCCCCAAGCCCCCCGCTGAATCCTAAGCCAGTACGTGGTGTGTAAAGCCACCAGGCTGGATGGGGTCACCTAAGTCGTACGTACGTATTGAGGAGCGAGAGGAAAGGGCGAAAGGAGGAGCCCTGGGCTCTCTGGGAAATGAGAAAGCCGCCAAAGGGACAGAGAAGCCAACCTTTGAGGTTGGGAGAAAACCAGATTCTAGAATCTGAGCTTTCTTTATTCAACCTCATTCCCTCTTTTAATAAGCCGCTGAGTCTAGCTGGGACCCTCTGGGGACGGAGGCTGGGGGAGACTGGGAGGCTGGGGGAGACTGGTCACAGTGGTCTGGGAAGGAAAGAAGGGGGTCTTTAGCGTAATGGTGAATAACTGGAAAAATAATATCTTTTTGGTTTTCCAGTCTTACCCCTCCACCCCCCCCACCCCCCCTTCTCACTATTCCAAGCTCCGGAACGCACATGAGCCCTTCTGTTCCTCCCCCTGAGCTCTCCTGCTTCCTTCCCGGGGAGCACGACATTGACGGAAGTAATGTTTTCAGTGTGAGCTGTAAACCTAAGCTACTTCAGTTGTTTTTGTTCTTTTTTAAATTCAATACTGAAACTTGGGGGGAAGGAGGAAGGTGGGTTGGTGCCCTTTGGAGCACTTCCGGCGCCCGTTGGAGCACTTCCTGCGTCAGGTTCCCCTTCCGGGGCAACTCAACTCAAGCGGGTAAGCGGCTGCTCTCCTTGGCTGGACCTGCCCCGCCGACAGAGCCCACACTCCCGGGGACCGCGTGGCCAAGGAGTCGGTGTGACCGGCCACGCTCACGTCCCCGCAGCCCCCGGCCGGGGCACCCAGCAAAGGGTCCCATCCTACGTGGGCCCTCCTCCTCCCCGCGCCCTGCCCTCCACCCACGGGAGAGACTTCCTTATGAAGGCGGTGGAGACGAGGGTCCTAGAGCCGGACTCTAAGGTAGAGAGGGACCCAGCGAGGGGACGCCCTGCCCCGGGACGCCTGAGTCGCCGAGGGGGCGCACCTGGCGGCCGGTGAGCTCCCCGGCGAGCCCCTGGCTGCAGCTGCCCTTGCCAAGAACAGCCAAGGACGCGGGCGCAGGCCGGGCCGGGCCGGGTGGTCTGGCCGCCCCACCTCTGTGTGCCCTGCGCCCCTCACACTTGGTGCTCTTCCTCGGAGCCCGGGCTGAGCTCTTGGAGGAGGACAGCTTTGCTGGTGGCGGTGGCGGTGGGAGGGGTCTGCACTCTCTGAACTTGGCCCCTCTTTCCGGGAGATTGAAAAGCACTCCCGCTCTCCCCCCATCCTCACACCGCCCCTGAGGAAGAAGCCCTGGGAGCCGTTCGGTCAACACCTGTCAGCACTTTCCTTTCATCGAAGTCTGTGGAACTGAATTAACTCATCTTTTCATTTCAAAGGAAACCAAGCCAATCTTAAAAAAAAAAAAAAAAAAAGAAAAGAAAAAAGAGGAGGTGGGCCGATTCCTCCACATGTACCATGAAACCCAGGACGCAGGCTGTGCTCGGCGACCTCAACCCGGCTCCTCCCTGAGAGTGTTTCTTGGAAGAGCCCGGAAGGTTCCTGGACTCAGACTCGATGGGTTCAGCATGAGCTGGGCCTGTCTTCTGAAAAAACAAACACACTTGTAAGCTTTGTGGGAGTTTCCAGGCCCAGCCTCTGACCCTGCCTGGAGCCCAGCCGTTGCTCCCTGGCGTCTCTGGCCCCCCCAGGGAGGCCGCCCACTACAGGGACGGGGCCATCTGTCCAGCCACGTTGCCACTCGGGCAGCCCAGGGAGAGGCCCCCACTGAGGCCCCCACTAACGTTCAGACTCTACACCCGCAATGGAGGGCTGTGGCATCGCTTGTGTAGACCCAGGTTTCAAAGTGACTAATTGATCCGCTTCACATACCAGTGTGCCCACATGCTGGTGCCTCCGAGTTTGGGCCTTGCTAACGGCTGCCGCTGCTCTCGGTGCTCACCTCTGGGACCCACAAAGGCCCCCTTAGGAAACGTTGCTTGGGGGGCGGGCTCTTACCAAGGGAATGTTAAGAGCACAAACATTTTATTGAACCCAGCTCGGCGGCAAACAGAAAATGATCTGTTAGGTTGTCAGTGGGAAAGGGTTTATTATGACTGGTGGAATCCACGGTGGCCGGCCTCCGCCAACATTTATGGAAATAACTGTTTTTAAGTTTTAAATGTGAGCTGTAAGCCTCAGCTACTTCAATGTTGTTTTCTTTCTTTTTTTTTTTTTTAATTCAATACTGAAACTGTGGGGGAAGGTGGGCTGGTGCCAGAGAAAACATTCTCATTTAATAGTGTTTGCACATGGAGCTGCGACCCATTTAGTGGCGAGGCCCCGAGAAAAACCCACAACTAACCCTTCATCACAGCTGTCTGCAGCCTTGATCATCTGCCATCCCCCCGAACAGCGACTTCTTTTTTCTGGGGACTCCAGGCTTGAATGACCTAGTGTGGAGAGTTTAAACTATATACAAGGGCGGGGGGAGAATGGGAAAGGAGCCTCCAATAAGCCTCAGCCAAAGGTTTTGTGCCCACGACTTCCTGTGCCCCCAGCCAGGGGCAAGGCTGTTCCCCGCACACTGTCCCTGTCCCCCTGTCCCCGGAGTGGCTCCCCGAGAGGGAAGACTGACATCGTGACAGTCCAGCTTCGCCTCGACTGACCTGCTCCTGTCCCCGAAAGGAGCCAGGAGTGGCTGCGGTTTGTGCCACAGTGGGGCCCCCTCCCCCCCTCCGGGGAGCAGCCAGACCCCAAGCACTTCCTCCTGCCCCCAGGTGTGCCCCCCGCCCCAAATCTGGCTTTTGTGGTTTGTGGAATGGGTGAGTTGGCTCACGATTCTCTTTGGAGCCGACAGGGTTAAGATACTGGCGCCCCGATTGATAAGAAAAGGATAAGAAGGAAGTAAGCAATTTGGGCAACACACATAAATCCGATCCCTCAATTTTAACCTTTCTTTAAGGTGGCATCAGTAGGCCAAACTAGAAATACTGTTGCCAGTGTCTTTCTTCCTCCCCTCTCTCGGCCAGAGGAGTACGGACAATGTCACTCGCAATTACAGGACATTAGCACTTGGAAAGTCATTGACACAGAGATTTTTTTCTTTTTAATTTTTTTTTTTTTGAGAGTGAGAGAGAGACCGAGTGCAGGGGAGGGGTGGAGAGAAAGAGACAGTGGATTAATCGGAAGTAATGCGCTATTAGATTGATGCGGGGCTCGAACTTACCGCGAGAGCACCGCCTGAGCAGAAATCAGGAGCCAGACTCTTTTTTTTTTTTAATTTTTTTAAGTTTTTTTTTAATTTATTTCTAGAGAGAGAGAGAGCATGAGCAGGGGAGGGTCAGAGAGAGAGGGAGACACAGACTCTGAAACAGGCTCCAGGCTCTGAGCTGGCAGTCAGCACAGAGCCCGACGTGGGGCTCGAACCCACGAACCGCGAGATCATGACCTAAGCGAAAGTCGGACGCTCAACCGACTAAGCCACCCAGGAGCCCCAGGAGCCAGACTCTTAACAGACTGAGCCATCCAGGCGCTGCCCCCCGCCAATTTTTTTTTAATGAAAATCACATTAAATGGGTTTTTGTTGTTGTTGTTGTTTTGCTTCTTCTGTACTGTTTTCTTTGTCTATGTACTGGGGGGGATGGTTTGAACCACACCCATTCATTCTGGGATGCACGTTGTGATGAGCTGTTTTCTCGGGTCCCTGAGATTTCTGACAGTTGTCTAGCAAAGCAGAACCCATACCCTGAGGACTCTCAGATCGTCTGCAGCAGAGGGGGGAGGGGTCCCTGCTAGCCTTGCAGGCTGAGGGTCTTTTCAGGAGACAGGGGCCCATTCCTCTTCCCAGGGAGATTCTCTTGTAGAGGAGAGCTGGGACCTTGTTTGGAAAACCACTCGGGATCCAGGGCCTGTTTCTGATCTAAAGAGCTGGTTCCTTGGTGCCAATGTCTGAGGACGTGATAAAATATTGACCAAAAACACCTTCGGGTAGATTGTTAACAGCCGCCATGCCCCGTGCATGTCACCAAAGGGCAAGGAAGGAGACAAAGAGCAGAGGAAGCAGGTGCAGAGAGCGAGGGCCCGGCAGCGGCGTGAAGAGACGTGGAAGTCACAGGCATTTTGTGCTGTCCGCCCAAGAGCCCACAGAATATGGTGGAGAAGTTTGGACTGAGGAGCAGTGGGGATGCAGGGATCAGAGCTTGTGAAGCCTGGTAAGGGGGTGGGAGGCTCTGAAGTGCGGTGTGAGGGATGCTAGCGGGGCGGCTTCCTCGGAGAGCGGCTCTAGCCTGGTCCCACAGGAGCGCAGGGGCACCGCGAGGTGTCCCGCGTGGAGGCAGGTCTCCTGCGTGCCCGTGACCGTCGCGGCTGCAGGCTGCCCTGGGGGGCACAGGATGGGTCCGATTCCTGGGGGAGGAGCTCCCATCAGGCCAAAGGCAATCCTCTGGATGAGAAGGCGTTTTTGAGCATTGTAGCAGCCGACATTCAGGGCAGCTGGAGGAGGGGTTCGCCCGCAGAGGGAAGGGGATCTGGGTGGAGGACAATAGTGTCCTTGACATTGGGTAATATGGGAGGCGGGGATGGCCTCCTGGTGGTCACTGAAGGATAAGGAGACATAGGCAGATGGGGTTATATTGACCCAAGACTGGATCTCTCCATTTGTCTCTTCAGATCTCTTGTTCAGCCTCCCATGTGCCCCAGGGACCTGACCCTGATGGTCAACATTACCTGGGCTCCCTCACCCTCTCACTTCCGGTTGCCACTGGGATGTGCTGGCATGAGATTGCGGGGTGAAAGAAGAGGTCAAGGTCTGTAAAATCCCTGCTTCCCTCAGGCCATAGTTGGATGGTGGCTGCGTTCTCCCCGAGGCCTGAGGTTTTGTCTCAAAGGGCCGTTCCTGTCACTGAGCTTTCCTCTGGTCCCCTAATAACCCTCCCCAACCCCTTGGTGTTTCTGTTAACCCTGCCCTCACTTTCACCACTGGCCTCTACGTCTCTGAGAATCATCCCCGAGTGTCCAGTCAGGAGCACGAGGGTCATCAGCCTTGGTCTCTGAGGCCAGTGCTTCTGCACTGCACCTGTGCACTCGTCACCTGCGCACCCGTCACCTGCGCACTTGTCACCTGTGCACCCTGTTAAATGCAGAGTCCGAGTCAGCAGGTCTGGGGTGGGGCCTGGGATTCTGCATTTCTAGCAAGCTACAAGTGGTGCCTGTGCTGCTGGCCTGGGAACCACACTGAGTATTGATCCTGGGCCTTTTGTCATAGTGAAGGGCATGGTGCCTCGCTGAGGTGAGCAAGGGACACAGGAGGCCATCACTGAAATCCTGCTGAGAGAGTTAACATGGCCAAGATCCTCAGGGCGGTCTTAGAGCAAATACAATGACATGCTTTTGAGTTTCCTAGAGAATCTTCTTTAAAAAAATTTTTTAAATGCCTATTTATTTTGAGAGAGAGATAGAGAGGAGTGGGGAAGGGGCAGAGAGAGAGGGAGACAGAGTCCCAAGTAGGGAATTGATAGTGCAGAGCCCGATGTGGGATCATGACTTGAGCCAAAATCGAGAGTCAGATGTTTAACTGACTGAGCCACCAAGCGCTCGCAATTTTTAGCACTGCTAGGAATTTACCCAAGGGATACAGAAATGCTGAGGCATAGGAGCACATGTACCCCAATGTTCATAGCAGCACTCTCCACAGTAGCTAAAACATGGAAAGAGCCTAAGTGTCCATCAACAGATGAATGGATCAAGAAGATGTGGTTTATCTATACCATGGAATACTACAAGGCAATGAGAAACAATGAAATCTGGCCATGTGTAGCAACATGGATGGACCTTGAGGGTGTTATGCTGAGCGAAATAAGTCAGGCAGAGAAGGACAAATATCATATGTTTGCACGTATAGGAGGATTAGGAGGAACTTGACGGAGGAACAAGGGGGAGAAGAAGGGGGGAAATGGTGGGGGAAAGGGAGAGAGGCAAACCATGAGAGACTCTTGAATGCTGACAAAAACTGAGGACTGATGGATGTGGGGGGGAGGGGGGATGGGCATGGGGGAGGACACTTGTGGGGATGAGCACTGGGTGTTATGTGGAAACTAATTTGACAATAAACTATTTGTAAAAAAAAAAATTAAAAAAAATTTTTTTTCTTTAAAAAAGTTTATTTATTTTGAGAGAGAGAGAGAGAATTCTAGGATTCCTCTAGAATCCCAAGCAGGTTCCACACTGTCTGCACAGAGCCTGACATGGGGCTCAATCTCACCAACCGTGAGATCATTTCCTGAGCTGAAATCAAGATCCTTATCCCAGGATCCACTAGAGGATCTTTTTTTTTTAAACCATCATGATGCAACCCAGACATAAAATACATTTAGCAACTGTTTGGGGGAAATAATTATTTATTTTAGAGGTCTCAGAAGCTTTTGTGTTAATAAACCACCCAAACCTCAGTTTTCGTGAACATTAAATGTTTACCAGTTTCAAAACATGAATCATGACATAAAATTTAGGTGTAGAATGTTTTAATCATTCCCTTCCTATATGCATTTTTAGACCTATAACAATTTAGATGCCAGCAAGTCACTAAAAACTTAAAAACTCATGTGTTGGCTTTGTTTCCATGTAGTTCTTGTCTACAGAATAATAGATTTACACGTATTAATGTATCTGTAATAAATTTATGAATACACTTGTATTAACATTCCCTATTTCTGGACTGGTATTAAGTCAGTGTTCTCGGGTTATTACATAATAAGGGTTGAATAACATGATCCCAATGTTGACATGGAGGTTATTTTATATAGTTAAAAAGAGAAAAGTGATCTTATAATAGATTAGAAAAGAATCTAATTTATAAATACACACAGTCTCTGGCTTGTGTGCTGTGGTGTTTTGCTTTGGCTATATGCAGAAGGTATTTCAGTCCTGTTCTAGATTTCATTTGACGCATAGGTATTCCACTTGGTGCCTTCAGGCCTTCATCTTACCCAGTAACGGTGACCAAGTTCTTCGATTTTGCCGCACTGCCTCTAGAGCGACTTACTTTTCCAAAGCATGCACCGGAAACAGGGCGCAGGGTGGAAAACGTGTTGTACGAATTTTATACACGTGAATGTGTGTAAACCACCACCACCCATTTTCCAATGGTAAAGGAGATCAGGATTTCATTGCACAAAACACCACTCAATTAGTGTCTCAAAATCTCAAAATCAATCTAAGGCCATCGTCACTTTTTTACCACTGAAAACTCTTCCGAAAAAGGGGACTCATATTATAAAAACGTAGTGTGTTTCATTTCTGTGCCAACACGTAGGAGACTGTCGGAGGGAGCACAGCAGATTCAAATGCTGCCCGGGGGGTGCATGGCGATGCCGGACTTCAGCACAAGGCCAGCCACGGGTGTCACCCGTCCTCTGTGTCTCCAGAGCTTCAGCTGGCTCGCAGCTCATGGTTTAGAGTCTAAATCAATGGTTCTCAAACTTGAGTGGGCTTTAGAGCCACCTGGACGGCTCCCTAACCCGCAGCTAGCTGAGCCCGCCCCCAGGGTTCCCAAGGGCCACACTCTGAGAGGCTCTGTTGGAAACGGTCCATGCTGAGCCATCAGAAGACGATCTAGAGACCCCGAGATGGTTTGCTCCATTCCAGGAGGAGTCCATCCTGGGCTCATGCTGCGTCCCTGGAGCTCCCGATGGCGACAACACAGGACAGAAGAGGTCCTCACAGAGAATTTCATATTCCTTTTGAATTCCTCTGCATTCCTCGACTTTGATGGCCTCGTCCTCGGGCCTCTGGAAAGATTACTTTCCTCCCATGTCATTCCCTCCTGCAGGAGTTCAGAAAAATGGCTAATCCTAAGAGAGGAAACCACGAACTGAGTTTCGTTCGTTCAACAAAAAACTCGATGGTACTCTCAGACACAGATGGTCAAGGACAACGAGGCCACTGCTTCGGAGAGGAAATCGTGCTTACGGGTACAAAGATCGCCTTGTTGTTGTTTTTTTTCTTAAAGAAAAAAACAACGGTCTGTTCTACAGAGTGAAGGGGACTGAGGTGGATGTGTGTCTTCTACTCTTCAACTCTCCCCTACCCCCGGCAAAGCATCAGTCCTAAATTCTCTCCAAATTCAACAAACAGTTAAAAAGAAACCTCAAAGCTTCTAGACTACGGGCTGGTTCCTGGCTCATTTGCCCTCATGATGTCACAACATTATAAGGAAGTAAACTATTGTTTTTCTATATCCCACCCCCAGCAATTAAATATCTAGATCCTAAATAACGCTGTTCTCAAACGCCTAGGTATTCACACTTTCTCTAAAAATTTCAAGGCATGGAGTCATTTTTTTTTTCTCTTAAAGAAGGGAAAGAAGACAATAGCATGAAGTGGGAAGTGAGTCTTGACCTCACACGGGAATCAGGGCCTGAGCACGGGTCTGGGATTAGTGCAATACGTCCCAGTGGGGTTGGCTGGGGAGGCGTTGACACGTGTGATGATGCCACCAAGGCCTTCCTGTCCCACCAGGTGCCTCCAGAGACACCTCTTGGCCTGTAGAACGAAGACCTGAGGAAAAGAAGGATGAGACTGATCTACCTGTTTCATGGTCTAGTGAATTATCAGCATGTAGCAGCGAGACGTGGCACAGTGTAACTTCCTCCCAAGTGGCTTCGGGAGGGCCTGCCCTGAAGGTGGCTAGACCTTCTCCATCTCAATCTGCTGGTGGTAGTGCCGAGCCTGCCGCTGGCCCACGTTCAGCTTGTACACGGAGCTCTTGTGCTGGCATTTGCGATGGCCCCACACTGCCCCTACGCCTGCCAGGAGCAGCAGCAGACACAGGACGGTGACGATGGTGGCAATGACAGGGCCTCTGCTGAGGCTGGGACACCCGTCCCCTACACACGGTTCCAAAGTGGGCAGGAGCTCCTCACTTGCATGTGGGCCAGGGCTTTCCTGTCCCAAGAAGTCCTCAGACAGCAGGTAGGGGAAACTATCCTGGACCTCAGGAGCAAGGGTTTCCACTGGAGTCTGGGTAGCCACCATGACAGTTGAGGGGCTGTGATTCGGGATTTGCTGGATGGAAGTTGTTACTGGCTCCAGTGTGGGGCTGGTGAGTTCATAGGATAAGGTGGCCATGGGAGGCTTCTCGGTGGCCAGCTTCCAAGGAACCGTTGACTGGTACCTGGTCAAATCACCATCTCCCTTGCTGGGACTCTCCGTTTCCGACACATTTATTGGTCTGAGAGCCAAAGCTTCCACATCTAGTGTTTGAGATAGAAGCACTGAACTACGGGTCATGTTCTCACTTGGTGTGAGCGTGGTATTCCCGGGCTTCTTAACTTCTCTAGGAGTGGGCTGATTAGGAGTAACTGGAACCCTTTCTTCCAGCCCTACTGACCCATCTTCCTTGTCCCCATCTTCCTCTTCTTCTGACTCTTCTGCCTCAATCTTCTTCCAAGCCCCGTCTGTCACGGGGTAGCCATCTAACCAGGACTCATCGCTGCTGCTCACCACAGGGTCCCCTGTCTTGCTGTTAGTTTTGTCCACAAATGTCCCTGAGTGCCCATCCGTGCTGCTATAGGTCACCTTGGTGTCAGGGTCACCTGGAGCCCGTGTTATGCTCCTCTGGTTGTCTCTAGTCAGGAACTGCTTTTTGGTCTCATCCTCCATCTCCTTTCCCAGCTCAAGCTTGTGGAAGGTCCCTACAGGAAACCAGATCGAGGACTTCCGGTTTGGTTGGGATCCTGGCAGGTCAGTGGGGACACTGCTCCCAGCGACGGATAAGCCCGCAGTTGGCACAAAGGCCGTACCTCGGGCTATGTTGCCTTTCCCCAAAGAAATGGAGACCAGACGGTCCTGCCGTGGAGCCTCCTCAGAGGACTTTCTTGGACCTCTGTCCTCCTCTGCCTCCATCCGGGAGTCTTCCATGAGCTCTCTGAATGACACAGATCTGTCATCAGGGAAATTGTCTTCATAGTCAATGTGTGCCTCAGCATCATCTGGAAGGGGAGAAGGAGAAACTCCATCAGGGCCTGGAGTCAGTCGTGGAGAACACAAGAAATAGAGAGCATAAGGACTGGGACAGATCAACTAAGACTGTCCTTCACAGGTCCTATGACTGTGTATCCAGGCAACCCTGAAGAATCTGCACGTAAACTGTTCCGATTAATATACGGGTTATCAAGGACACTGGGTCTAGAGTCAATATAAAATATCAACTGTATTTCTATATACCTGCAATGTATAGAAACAAGACACCATTTGTCAGAGCAATAAAAAAATCCAACACCTAGGAATAAAGCTAACAGAAGATGTGCAAGGTCTGTATAGGAATGGTACAAAATACGGTTAAGCAACATTAAAGAAGGACTGAATAAATGAGGGGCTATGCCATGATCATGTAATGGAAGGTTCAAAATTGATAAGCCATCAACTCTGACCCAGGTGAGCTACATAGATTTGACACTACCCTAATAAAAATCGCAGACTTTGACAAGCTGATGCTAAAATTTATGGAAATGCAGAGAACCACAATTTCGTGAAATCTGCAAATTTACTATTAAACTGGAGTCCTTTTTAAGACTATGGTACTGGCATAAGAATAGATAACTGGATCATATTAACTTTAGGAACTTCTGTTCATCAAAAGCCACCATGAAGAGAGTTAGAATGCAAGCCACAGACTTGAAGATATTTGCAACACATATCATCTCCAAAGGATTCACATCCAGAATTGATAAAGAACGCCTATAAATCAGTACTAAATACTAAATCAACACTTCTCTGTCTTGCTATAGATAAGTTGGCAAGAGGGGCACCTGGGTGGCTCAGTCGGTTAAGCATCCGACTTCGGCTCAGGTCATGATCTCACGGTTCGTGGGTTTGAGCCTTGCATCGGGCTCTATGCTGAATGCTTGCTCAGAGCCTGGAGCCTGCTTCAGATTCTGTGTCTCCCCCTCTCTCTGACTCTCCCCTGCTCGTGCTGTCTCTCTCTCTCTCTCTCTCAGAAATAAACAAAACATTAAAAAAAAAAGAGAGAAGTTAGCAAGATACTTGAATTGGCACATCACAGAAAAGACATCTAAGTAGTCGTTAAACATGTGTAAAGACGGTCAACCTCATGAGTAACAGAGAAATGCTAATTTCAGCCATAAAAAAGTACCATCACATCGCACCAGAATGGCTAATACTAAGCAGACTGACAGTATTACTGACATCATCAACTGTTAGCTGATGATACCTAGTGTTTGGGCACCAACAGATATGCACATGAATGCACATAATAACCCAAACCTGGAAATAATCCAAATGGCCATTCACTGCAGAACTGATACAAATGACTTCATATTTGTATGAGGAAAACCTGTACCTCAAGGAAATGAGGTACATTAGGTACAGAAGGTACCATTACTTCTGACAAGGACATAGATGGATCCCAGAGCCGTCATGGTGAGCAAAAGAAGCCAGACACAAAAGAATACACTTTGTCTGATTCTGTTTACATAAAGTTCAAAAATAAGCACAGCTAACCTATGGTGTTAAAAGGCTGGTGGCCAGGAGAGAAGCAGTAATTACTGGATCTGGGGACAAGCAGGGCTTTGAGGATACGGGCAACATTCTACTTCCTGACCTGTGTGGTGGCTCATTTCGTTATTTTCTCATCATTAATTGATCTGTTCCCTTGGGATTTGTATGTATGTTATGTTTACATAAAAATGGATCTTTTAAAATGCTGATTTACTCTTTGTAAGACTTCTTGAGATTATGCTGTGAAATATTCTAAATTGAATACATTGAGCTGAGTAAGAATGAACAAAAGGCCCCACAGTTAGGAGACCAGAACCTAAGGACAGCAGGTCAAGAAGGCTCAAGCAGCTCTGTCCTCGGAAGAGAGCAGCCCACAGGGCTTTCCCCCTGTACAATGGGCTTTGAAAGTCAAGTCCTACTAGAAGTCATACTTAATTATTAAAACAGAAAGGCTCCCCATGATGTTGCGATCTAATATGAAATATATGTTCAGTCTTTGCACCTGGTTCCTAGCAGGAGCTCCTAAAAGCCTTGGAATTTCCAAGCAATAGGAATGATAAGAATATTTTTTGTTATTCGTAACAAACTCCTTTGGGTCAGACCTGAATTTATGCTAATGAGGTGACCCCTAGATGGCTTCCAGATAGGGCTGGTTGCCTGAGGAACCAACCAAGTGGTTACAGGGTTGAAACTTTCAGCCCCAACTACTGACTTTTGAGGAGGGGGAAGGGGACTAAGGTGGAGTGAATCACCCATGGCCACGATTGAATCAATCGTGCCTAAGTAATGAAACCTCCATAAAACCCCTAAACTACAGGGTTCAAAGAGCTTCTAGATTGGTGAACGCATCCATGGGCTGGAGGTAGCTCAGGCACCCAACTTCACAGGGACTTCCTGAGTGCTTTCCTGAGTTCTGTGAGCCTTTCTAGCAAATTACTGAGCCTGAGGAGATCGTCATGAGAATCCCCAATTTATAGCCAGTTGGCCGGAAGTATAAGAGGCCCAGGACTTAGGACTGGCGTCTAAAGTGAGGGCAGTCTTGTGGGACTCAGCCCTTAACTACTCCAAGGAGCTAATGTTAGCACTGAATTAGATTGTAGGACATCCGGCTGTTGTTCAGAGACTCAGAGAGTCGGTTGTTGGTGCGAAGAGTGTTCTGTGGGAAGAAATAGATCTTAGTCTTTCCCTCTTCACTTGGCCACTTGGAAAGCACAGATGGAAAATGCTCTAGAACGAAGGTCTCGATGGGACACTGAGGTGTCATGTGGTGCATCCCTGGGCTCTGAAGCTGGTGGGCATTTGGCTTATTTCTAACAAGACTCCATATTTTGCTTCCTTAATGACTTGAGACTTAAAAATAAATGTACAAGTCCTTTCTGATTTGCTCTTAAACTTTAAGCCCATTCACTTTACTTGTGTCTTCAGTCAAAAATGGAAAGCAGTGGCACCTGGGTGGCTCAGTCGGTTAAGTGTCCAACTTTGACTCAGGCCATGATCCCACAGCTCATGGGTTCGAGCCCTGCTTTGGGCTCTGTGCTGACAACTCAGAGCCTGGAGCCTGTTTCAGATTCTGTAACTCCCTCTCTCTCTGACCCTCCCCTGCTTGCACTGTCTCTCTCTCTCTCTCTCAGAAACAAATAAAAACATTAAAAAGAATGGAAAACAGTGGATAAAGAACAAATATCTATGATAAATGTAAAATGCACCTTATATTTTACGCTTAGAAAAAGATCGCCGAGGGGCACCTGGCTGGCTCAGTCGGTAGAGCATGTGACTCTTGATCTCAGGGTTGTGAGTTTGAGCCCCCCCGTTGGGTGTAGGGATTACTTAAAAATAAAGTCTTTAAAAGAAAAAAGAAAAGAAAAAATTATTTCAGGAGACCCTTTCACCCAATGACGTGCTGTTCACAATGCCCAGACGAAACCAAAATAATGGCTGAACCATTCTTAAAAGCATCACAGAATTCCAATAAAGGCTCTCAGGGTTTGGCCAGGCTGCCACCTGGCACGCTTACTGTGGAAGAGAAAGAATGCCAAGTAGGATCTGCACTGTCAGGGCAGAGTCCAACGCGGGGCTCAATCACATGAACAGTGAGGTCATGACTTGAGCCGAAATCAAAAGTTGGACTCTTAACCAACTGAGCCCCGCAGGCGTCGCACCCCCCCACAACTGTTATGTCATAATGCCTCATTCTCTGTTCCACCACCATTTTTTTAATATTTATTCATTTTTGAGAGAGACAGAGTGTGAGTCGGGGAGGGGGAGAGAGACACACACAGAATCCAAAGCAGGCTCCAGTCTCTGAGCTGTCAGCAGAGAGCCCAACACGGGGCTTAAACCCACAGACCATCAGATCATTCATTACCTGAGCGGAAGTTGGACAGGAGCCACCCAGGCGCCCCTCTTCCACCCCCATTCTAAGCGTGGTCACCTATGCCTTGATTGAACAAACTTCACTGAGTGCTAGCTACTTGTCTGACATTGCTAGGGCTCTGGGTCACTGGTGACCAGGACACAGTCTCTGCCCTCCCGGAGCACAGGGGACAGAATTCCATGGTGTCGCGACCTGCCAGGTGGAGCTGCAAAACTTCTGCATGCACGAATTCCCATCCATCCTGCCAGATAAACATGAGGCTTCATATTTAAGTGCCATTGTTTCTTTAAAAAAACAGAACAAAACAAAAGCTACTATGACAAAACCACTTTCTAAAATTTACCTGAACCAGCTGGACATTTAAGAAGCCCATGACTTAAATCTTTGACCTTAAGATAATGCGGTTGCATCGTTTGAACACGTGCATACTGACTGGACGAGGTAGGGTGATCCCCAACATGGCCACACCACTCTTTCCTGCACTGAGTACTTTTGCAATGTGGGTGTGGAGCTCCTCCTTCAGGAAGTGGTGACTCTTTCCAGCTCTCGAATTGGGGCTGACCTGTCACTTGCTTTGACCCACAGAATACAGTGAAAGCCTTGCATGCTTGCTCTCTGTCTCTGTCTCTCTCTCTTTCTCCGAAGCCTGCCAGCCGCCATGTGAACAAGCCCAGGGAGCCTACGGAGGGATGAGAGGCATGTGGAGGAGAGGCAAGCGGCACCAGCTGAGGCCATCCTAAACCAGCCAGCTCTGTCAGCCCAGGAGCTGGCCCCATTCACCCGAGGGAGCCCGGCCAAGACCAGAAGAATGAGCCAGCTGAGCCCAGCCCAAACGGTTCACACAGGAAATCGCCACCAAGTAAATGAGTGTTGACTAAGCCATTACGTTTTTTTTTTGGGGGGGCGGCGGCGGTTATTATGCAGAAAAAACTGATACATTGGCCATGAGCTGCTGGAGGGCAGGATCCCAGTCACTGTACCCGCAGAACAGAACAGCACCCCACCTTTCTAGGTATTCCTGAATGAGTGGACGATCACATGGCACTGGGAGAAACAGGAAGGAAAATCTAATCAGATCCCAAGATTCTCCTGATCTTT